ATGTCATATAAATTATGCAAAATTCAAATAGGATGCCTTACGTTGTCTGTTAGCCCTGGGGCCTCAGCAGGTGCCAGTGCGAGGCTCCCAAAAAGGAAGGAAAAAGGAAAAATTTGGAGAAACAGCCATTGATGTGGTTATTTGGTCTTGAAGCTGGTGTTGGATCATCCATTGATGTTTTCCCTTGGCACCTTCATAGTGCTCTCCAAAGCAATGAGAGCTAGCCTTCAAGGGAAGTGGCTACAGGTCAGCTGCAGTTGTATTGTTCCTAATCTGAAGTATGCTCTGTGTCTGAAGTATGCTCTGTCTTCCGCAGTAGGGTGTTATATTCAGGTTCTGGGAGGCCATCAAGGACTGTGTAATAGCCTGAGTAATTCTGGTAGTCTCTTGGACCTCCTTGGCCAACAACTCAAAGGAAGGTTTCTCCTGTCTGGCACTGTTTCTTGTTTGGCACTGTTTCTTGTTATGTAGCCTTTAGCTATACACATGGACTCATGTAGAAATAATGTATGTATAATTTGTTGGTAGGTTGTGGTACTAATATGGTTCCCTCTGGTTTTTGAAAACTAGCTAGGTATTATTTATCTCTCTTTGTCTCTCACTGTCTAACCCTTCTGTCATGGTTTCCCCATTTAAAGTGCCCCCATTTCTCCCTTGATAGTACCCATCACCTATGACCCTGCCTTTCTTGATCTCCTTCTTTTCCTTTATCCCCAAGTTTCCTTGTAACCCTCCTCCCCTCCCATTTAAATAACCCAATTTTTACCCATTTCTCCCTTAGTAATACCTGTTTCCTACTGCTCTTCTCTCTCAGGTCCTTTCTTTTCCTTTACTTCCCTGGTTCCTTTTCATTATCCTAGTTCCTGTAGTTGTGTCTGGATACATACTCATTTATAAGGATTTGGTGCCAGGATCCACATATGAGGGAGAACATATGTCATTTGTTTTTCTGAGTCAGTATTACTTCACTCAGTATAACAGTTTCTAGTTCCATCCTTTTACCTGAAAATTTCATTATTTCATCTTTCTTTACCGCATGGATCTCCATTGTGTAAACATACCACATTTTCATTATCCACTCATCAGCTGAAGGACACAGGTTGTTTCTATCTCTTAGCTATTGTGAAAAGAGCAGCAACAAACATGGATGTATAAGTGTCTCTGAAATAGGATGAGTCTTTTGGGTATAAGCCAAGGAGTAGTATAACTGGGTCAAATGGAGTAAGGGTGAGGTATTGGGAAGGACGGTTAACTAAAACTTAGTATGGATGAAAAATGCTATGGAAATCTGCTACTTTGTAAACTAAAAATTATAAGTAAAAAGATTATTCTAAAAACTCCTACTAATATAACTTTAGGTGTGGTGGTATACACCTTTAATCCCAGAAATCCGGAAGCAGAGCTAAGAGGATCTCTTGAGATCAAGGCCAGCCTGGTTTACATAGTGAGTTCCAGGCCACCTAAGGCTACAAGGAAACCTTGTCTCAAAAAAGAAAGAGCAAAATGAATTTTTAGAACAGGTCCACTTCTGAGTAAGATATAGGACTAAAAACTGTGTCTATGTGACTTAGTAAAGAAGAGTCAGAAAAATAAAAAATAATGTAGCCCAAGGAGAGAAAAAGAAAAAGAGCCACAGAAATCCACAAAGGAAGTTAAAGGGAAATGAAGATTCAATAAGCAATATGCCAGATCAAGATACCACCTGTCTAGCAGTAGCTAGAGAAGCACAAGCTCACCCAAGGTGAGCCAGGTGAGACATGGGCAGCCTCACCTTCAGAACAAGCCCACAAGCCTCAGTAGCCAAACATTCAGTCATGGATTTGGGGGGGGTGGTGATTCCACCACTAGATGGATCAACAGTGGAGAAAAACTCAATTTTGTCATGTGATATGGCTAAGAAGGCAAATGTTGGGTTCCATCTTGAGAGAGAATCCATTATTAAGAACTTCCTCCTGGAACTGGAGAGATGGCCCAGCAGTTAAGAGGACTGGCTGCTCTTGCAGAGGACCCAGGTTTGGTTCCCAACACCCACATAGTTGCTAATAGCCATCTGTTGCTCCAGTTCCAGGGGAATCTAATGCCTTCTTCTGACCTCCATGGCATTGCACAACAGGGGTGCACTTATGTACATTCAGGCAATACCCTCATACACATAAAATAAAAATAATAAATAAAATATATTTTTTTAAAAACTGTCCTTACTGGGACTGAAGAAATATCTTGGGTTAAGAGTATTTCACCCTCTTGCAGAGGACCCAGGTTCAGTTCCTAGAATCCATATGGCACCTCACAACTTCCTGTAACTCCAGTTCCAAAGGATATGATACCCTTTTCTCTCCTCTGCAGGCACTAGCACTCATGTGGTGCTTGTGCATACACACACACACACACACACACACACACACACACACACATACAAGTGCACATGCATGCGTTCATGCACATACACACATACACACACACAATAAATTAATTAACTTTTAAAAATAGGTAAGGTATTACCATGGGGACTCTGAACAGAGAACAAGTCTTAGACTCTTGATTTGGCTAGCCACACGTTCAAGATTTGAGAAAGCCCAGGAAAGTAGATGTGAAAGTCTGAGAAAGCATGAAGCTGGTGAGCCCAAGGGTGCAGAAGGCAAGAGGCTTGGGTCAGGGCAGGAAGTGCACAGGGAAAGAAAACCCTGACCTTGATGGCCAGAAGAGCAGGCCTCATCAACTGAGAATGACTGTGGAGTTTGATAGCCCTGAGCCTCGTGAGGCCTGGTTCAAATATTTATCTGTGTCTTAGAATATTACAGTTGCCTCCTAAGTAATCACTACCAAAGTTAGGCTTCTCTTTCTAGGCTTTTTTAGGCTTCACTGCTCTTCCCTGATTAAAGTCATAGAGTAGTTCTGCTGTGTATAATATATGCCATCGCATGCAGTTTAAAGATTTCTATGACCTGCTTCCAGCTGACACTATCTGTCATCACATCACCTCTCCATTCCTTTCTTAATGCTTCATGAACGTCATTCCCCGCACAATCTACACTTTCACTCTGATGTGACATTTCTAGTTCTGGTTTCTGTACCTGAAACACCTCTTCATCGCTCTGCACATCTCCATTCGTTCCTACTGTAAGACCTTGCTTGGTGCATGATCTTCCAGGAAATGCTACACTACAGCTGTGGTTTTGAAAAGGGCCGTCCATTCTGACCCACTTCTCCTCATTACACATATTGTCTTGTATGTGGAATGCCAAAACACTCTTATGAAGGAAACATATGGCTTATGTACAGCATATTGATTATTTGAAGTCAGACATTGGCATAGTTGTTTCTGCATCAGCACAGAATCTGGCATTTAACAGATGTCGATATTATGTTGAATTGATGTGTCTACAATGACACTGGCAATATAACCCTTGGGCTTCTGTATCCCTCTTATGTGCAGGATGCTTATCTGGAGGAGAGGGGAATCTTGATGTGTTCTCAGAGATTTTCTTTGTGACTACAGCTCTGCTTCCCATTGTGTCTACAGCTATTCTTCCCAGAGGAATATCCTCTCAGCCCTCTTTTTAGACATTTTTGCTTTCCTGTTAGGACAGTGACATGGTTTTCAGAGCCACTATGTGACAAGTCCTTTCTGTATATTACTCAATTCTATTAATTTTTTTTGTTTCTTTATGGCAAATAAAATATTAACATATGAGACATTTCAAGCTTGGAAGTTTATGTTTGTTAGATTTCAGTTTTGTTCTGTATTTTCTCCTAAAAAAGTATTATACAGTGACACTTAATATTTATAAGTATTTTTCATTTTTAGTTTTTAAAAGAAAACTACCAAATCCTAATGACTCTAGCCCCATAACTCTGAGGAATAGGATTCTAAATCGTGCTTGCTTTCAGAGGCAAAGAACAGTAATCTCAGTATAAAATTATCAATATTAATGTTTTTATTTTAAAATTATCTCCTAAGAAAATCTTTGCAGAAGCCAAAGTTTAATAAAGAAGAAATCTATTTTTAATTTATAGATAAATTATAACCAAATCATGTGATATTAAGACTTAATTTCCAAAAGAAATGGGAGTCAACCACTTTTCTAGGCCTAACCTTACTTACTATGGTATACATACAAAGTAGACCATCTTTGCAAAAAGCTTTGTCCCACTAATTGATGCAAAGTACTAGCTTAGGCTTGATAATTTTGTGTATCATAACAGTGCTCACATCATTAGATGGATCAAGGTATGATATCATTAAGTGCATGGGAAAATTCATCAGAACTGAATCCACATCTCTATTATATAGAGCATAGAATCAAAGGAATTGACTCTACACCTTCCTGAAC